TAATATACAAATTACTCAAATAAATTGTTCATATCACACTGTCGTTTTATTTTCAACGCATAACGTGCTCCAACAAAAATTATAGTTTTTTTCTGTTATTCCATAAAATCGCTCTACCCGTTTTTACCCGTTTCTACCCGTCGTTAAAAAGACGATGTTTTATTACGTAAATAAAGCGAGCTTCACGGTCCCTTGTGTCAAAATCTCTTGGAGTTAGCGACTAAAATGAAGGAATGAATGCGTAAATACTAACATTTTGGGACTTTGTAAAATATATTACCTTTCGACCAGTGAAAGTATTTTTTAAATCCGTACAGTAGTTTTTGAGTTATTTCAATACATACAAAAATACAAATCTTTCTTTTTATAATATTAGGATAGATGAAATTCCAGCATAAAGTTAACCTATGTACATACGCTTTACAAATTATATAACGCAAATATACTTGTTCCTATATTTTACAATAATACTTGTTCCTATATTTTACAATCTAGGACTATTGTGTTCTAAACATTCGGCCACGATTCTTTCAGCTGATAGTTTGTTTTATTGTTGTAACATAATATCAATCTAACAAAACTTTACAATGCGTAGAGTAGTTCTTTATTACACGAAACATTTCATATCTGATGTTGGGTAATTTTGAATACTTTTTTTTTATAGAAACAATAAACGTAGTTATCCCTGCAAGTATTCTTTGTTACGTGGAATACAGAAGTAACCATGTCTTTTTTAATATCTCGAAGTATGATACATAAGCTATTTCTAAATTAAATAACACGTAGTTGAAGGCAACTGTCACCAACAATTTTATCTTTACAAATTATATCTAGAAGTCATAAAAATAAAGGACAGTTTTTTTAAATCTGAAAAATGTGTGAAAATGACTTCGATTTTCCAGAAATAGTGCGAAAATGAGAACCATGATTAAATTTTCTACAAATGAAAAATAATAAAACAACCAGTTATGAAAAAAGTTTATAATAAATAATTGAAAATTACGAAAATCAACAAAATATTGTATATTAAAAATAATTTATGCTTCGACTTGGTCAAACTTCGGTCCTAACGTAATATCCATTATACACAAGGTATTAGGATCTTTCTTCAAATTAACGAAGCCGTGCTGTTTCAATTCTGAAAATTAGTAAAAACCTCAATAAATAAAAAAAAAAGCTTTTTTTTAAATTTTACGTAATACATGTATGCCTAAAGCTGGGGTTATTTTTTATTAGACTGTATTTTTATAAAAACACTGGCCGTTGCTCGCGACTCCTTCAACGTTAAAATAAAAAAGAAAAAAATCGCAATGGTGAAAGAATTTTTGAATTCAGTCTAGTAGTTTTTAAGTTATTTCAACACATACAAAAATACAAATCTTTCCTCTTTATAATATTAGTATTATATGTAGTTTGAACCAATCATAAAGATCTTGTCTGTGCAATACCTTATTTATGGAAAAGTTTATATGGGAATGAAATGATGATGAGAACATAGTCTGAAAACGCACAGGTGACTAAATAAGTTTGGTTTTTTTTAAATTTAGTATACTATAAGGAGTATTATTTAATAGTAATAGTTACTGAGTAGCGAAGTGAAACAGCGCGCCATGATGATGTTAGTGTGAGCGCGCAGCACCGGCCCCGAGCGCACGAGGCGGGGCAAGTCCAGCGCTGCCCCCGCCCCGGCCCCGGCCCCCGCCCCCGCCCCCGGCCGCAGCGCGCGCAGCACCTTCACCATGGTGCCCTCCGTGCCCCACTGCTCGCTGCACACGACATACATACTGTCTCCTTTAACTCTACATTTATTCACAGAAACATATTAAACTAAAAAGGGGCAATCATGGTCTACATCTATGTATACTAAAATTGTCTTTTATGAAATAGGTTTTATATCTTTTTTTAATTTTTCGATTTCCTCCACGACGATAAGTCTAATCATTGTTAGATATATACTTGCACCACTTTTTCAATCATTCCGCCCTTCTTTTTGTAGTTAAGATTTGGAAGACATACATTTTAGAATCGTAAATTTCTACAATTTACATTTAAAAATAAAGATACCGTATGAATTTCTTAGAGTCCGTAGTTGTGTCCGTATCTCCGAGGGAGACTTTAGTGCGGTCCAAACTGCCGAGCGGCGTCTCCGTGTCCTCGCTGCCGGCCTTTCTTGTGCTCCTACGCATACTGATCTGAGACAATGGCTCCACTGCCATTCTGCCCGCCTCTATTTCCGTTCTGGCCGCCTCTACTTCCATTCTGCCTTCCTCTACTTCCATTCTTTCCGCCTCTACGTCCGTTCTTCTCGGCTCTACTTCCATTCTGCCCGCCTCTATGACAGCTCTGCCCGGCTCCATGTCCGCGAGCCCCGCCTCACGGAGCAACGTTGTTAAACTTCCTTGCCTCTCGTTCTGGCTCGGTGCTTGAACATTCTCAGGAATATTTTCCTTTTCTATATCTGTAACAATGTTTTGTATTTATATCATAAAATGTGTATTATAGTTTTTATAAGCACCAAGCGGCCGAACTTTATTCGCTAAAATAGCGAAGATACCGCTTGCTAGACATTCGCACTGTGTTGCCTCAATAGACATAGAAGATACAGAAACATAATATCTCTCCCTCCCGTAGTGAGAAACAACAAATGAATATATAAAATAAGGTTCTACATACACGAACTGTTTCAAACTGTACGACAAAGTTAGTGTAGGAGCATTTAAGCTACAGCGAACTGCGGTCCGTGTATGGCAAGAACAGTGATCAGTCCGTGTATGCCGGCACTGAGCGTACCTGTGGCGAAATCTGCTAATAGCTGCCCCTTGTGCTGCTTGTACGACACGAAGCCTGAGTGACGTCTTTTAGCCTGAAATTACATTAAATTTATGATTTTCCTTCTTTTATAGCCTTACTAATATTATATTTGCGAATGTTTAGATGAATCTATGTTTAAATATATTTCGGGCTTAACGGATCTGGATGAAATTTGACACAGACATAGAATATTCTGGAAGAACACAGCCTATTTAATAGGTTTTTTAATTCCGTGTGTACGGAGTCGCGGGTTATAAGTAGAGTAAAATTTATTACTATCAATAGTACACTATTTCTACCACTTACCGCTTTATCTTCAAATTCACCAGTTCGTTTTCTGACTTGTGATAAAGTTTCCACCAGCTGTGTGGGCAGATCTGAGAAGTCTACGATGCCCTGACCCTGACCAGCCACGGTGACCTCCGCCTCCTCCACCTCCATCTGTACCGGCTGCTCTGTCTGAGGGATGACTGCGCCAGAAGGCTCTTCCTCAACTGGTTGTATGTGCGGTCGTGTTTCTTGTACAGCTGGCATCGCCACAGCTTCCTGTTTTTTTATTTACTTATTTATTTTTATGATTTTGCATAGATTTATACTGTAAGGAGATCTAATTAAAATTGTGTAACTAAGGTTTTCAAAGGTATGACGTCATAACATATTTTTGATAGTTAAACTGTTATTGTAATAGGAAATACTTTTACTTAAACAAAAAGTAACATTAAGATTATAAGAAAATTAATAGAAATTTTCAACATAATCTAAACGTAAAGTACAATTTTCTATATAACACAGAAAAATCATGAATAAAATGAATTTTGGTGGCTGATTGAACTTTTTACGGTTGACGGGAAGGTTGATATGCAGATATAGGCTACTTGAGTGGTTCACACTTGGCCAGTTCGACTGTAGACCGGTCAATTGATTGTCCTTTTTAAGGGCTAATTGCGGATTATTCCCAACCGTCTCCACGCTCTGTCCCCACGTTGGGACAGTTAATAAAAAGTTTCCTGCGTCCCACCTATTGCGACAAGTGGACGATTAGAACTTATTTTTTTTCTTAACGTTTCCATCTGTCATCTTATAGGTGATAGAATAAAAGGTAGGACGAATGAAACTTTTTATTCTCACCTGTCGCCGCGAGGGGACAGAGCAGGGTGACGGTTGGGAATAAACCCTAATGGCGAAGTGTAAATGTAAATGGAGTTTATTCTGCGGTAAATCGCGGGTGTACAAATACATTACCTCCAAGTGCCGGTGTTGTGTGGTACTGCATACAGAGTGCAAGTTCCTGAGGTAGAGCGTGCGAAGCGGGGGCGCAAGGCGGGCTTGTAGCCCGTATGCGTTATGTCCGTCGTGGGCAGGACTCACAAAGTACGTAGTGGCGGGTATTCGGATATTTATCACGTCCTCGCTAACCGACTATAGGAAAATGTCATTTGTATAACTAAACGTATAGTTTTTTTTTTTTAAATAGTATTAGTTTAATAAGATTTTGAAATAACAGCCACTAGATCCACTTGCCCTTGTCCCTAAGAATGGTCGGCAACATGTGCTGCTTCTATACATTTCTAGCAACCCTCATATTTAAATTCACACTTTGAGCCTTATCCTTTATACTTTTTCACATAATCCATCCATACTTCGGTCTTCTACCTTTGTCTTAACACTTAAAATTATGTTTACTAGATAAAAAATGTATAAACACTTTAAAATAGTAAACAAAAAAGTATTAAGATCGAATGTGGATGGGTACAAAGGCAGAAGACCGAAGTATATCGTGGCTGTTCGGAACAAACAAGTTTAGAGAACAAAATTTTAGACATAGCATAAAAGGAAGCAGGGGAATAAAACAGTTTTGCGCCCAAAATATCTTGAGTCCTCGTGATATTCGAAAAAACTAAATACAAAGAACTAAAAATACAAACGTTATAAGAGTAGAGGCACATTTTTAAGAACAAGCATATTTCCCAGTAAATAACACATATGATAGAAACCGTGCAAAAATAAGCCTTATCTTTATAAGTTCAGGTTTTTTCATAGTTTTATATGCAACAGCCCTAAAGTTTGAATGGTTTAATACAATGGGCTTACTTTGCAGCGCAACTCGATGTGGTTGTTAGCGATCCTGTCTCGCATGTGGTCGGTGGTGAGGCGCGTGTGCTGGTCTACGAGGAGACGACGAGCGCGCCGCCGCTTGGGAGACCGCTCCTCCAACTCCTGGATGATGAACAGGATACGTCACATTAACTTACCTTTCTCTTTACCTAGGTTGTATAAATGTTTTTTTATGGATGAATGTTTATAAGACATCTCTAGAAATAAATAAAATTAGGCAGATGTGGATTGAATTTTTTCTTACTACTTTTTGTCCTTTTAAAGACTGTCCCGGCAAAAGCTGCTCTCAAGAGCGTTTAACCAAGTCTAAATTATGAAATTTAAGGGGTTTATTGTCTATTAAAAACCGTTTATGTTAAGCTAGCATTCTTAGTTTTTTTCAGTGTAGTTTTACAATGACAGCAAATAAATGTATATTTTTTATCATGGTTACAAAGTTATTTCAATGCTTTAATGTTTTTACCTCTAGAACAATTTCATCGTCGACTTTTCTCTTCGTCCCCTCGGATTGTTCAGTCAGTTGAGGCTGCACTGACATCTCAACATCCGGCCTGTTTGTTACAAAATGATTTTATAAAACCGTAAGAAAATGAATAACATTTGATTTAAAATTTTGTTTCTACACAAAAATACTCAGTATTACATGATTACTATTATAAACTATTAAAATACGCTATCTTGGTAGAATTTAAACAATTACTTAGTAATTTTCTTATGAACTAAACTAAACTACGAATATTCACGACAATTTTCAAAGTAATTCTATGATAAAGCAAATTGTTTGTAGTTGTAAAAATTAATTTATTTGCTTACCTTCAGTTTTAAAAAATATCGTTTATTTTATCACTATATAACTAAAAATATCGATGTTACCGTATATTTAAAAAAGTTAAACACTAACACCAATGGTTCAGGAACGTTGAGGACGGGAGGCGGGATTTCGGGAATTTCAGGGACTTCTGTATACGTTAACACAATTTTAGTATTTCAATAGAGATGTCAATAAATTTAAAAATACGCAATTTTAACAAACCTTTTTCAATGTCAGCGATTGTTGAAATTTCGGCACCGATAGCTGGTAATAAAAACAGGTTTTTTTTTAAAATAAATTATGAAAATAGATACAATTGTAGTTTGAATTTTAAAACATAGTGAAACATAAAACAACAAACAATCATAGTAAAACTAACTTAAAGTGTGGTCTCTATAGGTATAATCCCGGAAATCCGCGGTGATAAGAAAGCTAAATTGCCATGTTCCTTGCAACGCGACATTCGGCCGTTTCTTACAACATAATTCGTTGGGATAATAATGAAAAGAAATTTAATCACCGACCGATTATTTTTCGTACAGACACATTTAAAAGGTCCTATTAAATGTTCCGCGTCGTCTCAATCCAGAAGGTCGATACGACGATAGCTTTAAAGTTGAACACCGCCAATTTCCCCGATTGTACCTGTCCCTGTGGTTTTGGTAGAGTTGAACCAATTTTTAATTAACATATTAACTCACATTTTCTGTACATGCTGACGTCATACTCGGATATCCTCTCCATCTGCAGATCCCGTGTATGCAGACGCGACTTATCGTGCGACTTGTCATCCGACTTGTCGTGCGACACGTCCGCGGGCAGGATTGCGCTGAGCTGCGCCGCGCTACTGCCCAGTAGCATCTGCTCCACCGTGCGCTCGGGGGAACGCACCTCCGACTGTACCTCCGGCCTTACCTCCGGTCTCACCTCCGGCCGTAGCTCGCCGAAACCATCCTTTATTGTTTATTTTTTACCTTTACGTCTCTTGTCATCTTTATTTATACCAGGGGTGGAGAACCAATGGCACGCGACATATTTTGGGCACGCCAAAAGTAAAAAAAAACACTACGAAAAAATGATGAAGTACCATGGAATTGACGTAATAATCGCAATCAAAATTATTCGATGGCACATCTAAGACCGCATTAAATATTTCTTTTTAAAAAAGATGGCAATTTGATGCATAATGTTCGCCACCCCTGATCTATACTAATATAATAAAATGTAAACACACGTTTTATTACGTATATGACAGCATATTTTTTATTAATTCTTCATTTAACTAAAAGCCGTACAATTACACGCTGACTGTACCATGATACGCTTTAGGCTTTATTTTCACGTTATTTAATTCAGGAGGTGGATGAGTTGAAAAAAAATGACATGCAACAAAAACTACAAGCCAAAGCATCAAAGAATCCAGACTACTATAATAACCATAATTGTTTTGTGTTAAGACCATCAGTTATGTAACTTAGGGGGGTTGGCAGACTACGGAGGTCCATTAAGCGGTCCTGGCATCTTTCACGCCTTATATGAATTTTGGAACAAGTTTGATTGTTTGCCAGATATTTTATACATCATAATAGAACAGATGTAATAATGATACCACTTACATTAATTAAAAATTGTATTTCAGGTATTGTAGGTTCCTTTAATGTTATATCATCAATATGGGCAACCACATTATTGCTATTCTGAAAATAAAGATTATTTGTGATAAACCGGTATTTCGTATTACAGTACTTTTGATCGTAATTTTCTGAAAGGATGATTGCAAATTCACAATCTCTTAACCATTAAATTGATGCTTACAAGCTAAGCTGTTAAAAAAGTAGAATTAGTATAAAGTTTTTAAAATTTAACATTTAACGAGAATAACACGAACCTGAATTAATTCTTCAACTAACGGCTCTTCCTCAGGTTGTTCTATAGTTACCACGTGAAGTCTTGGACGAGGAATGTCGCGTGTATCCTCTTGTATTATCCATCTTTGATAAAAAAATTGTCATTTATTTTGAATTTACAGTATTTAATAAAGAGAAACTCTTGTCTGTACGTTAAATGAAATTTTAGATTTTTTTTCGACCGTGCGTTTCCCGCGCGTAATTTTTTACCTCAGTAATTAATTTTTCTTCATTAAAAAAATGGCCAACATAATTCAAAATGATTATGTATAAAAACATTGTTTAAAATCTAAAAGATATACTTTGTAAATAGGAATAATAGATACTTACTTTTTGTTTGAATGTTTTATAACGGTAGCATTGATCATGCAAAGATCTCCTAAAAACACATTAAAGTTAAAAGAGTTTAATATAAGGAAATAAATATGCAGTAATGTAATATACAAACCTAGGAGGACGCTAGCTTTCCTTTGGTAAAGTCTAACCAAACCCCGCAGTAATTGTGAACTCAATCGTAATGAAAATCGGTTTGTTGGACGCCCGGATTCATTTGTTATCACTTCAAGTAAATCGTCACTGGAAATATTTATTTTTAATTTTTATTCTACTCATGCATTACAACAGAAAAGTGAAGGAAGATAATCGCTTACCATATTTTACGAATATCCTGTGACCACAGTTGCCTATGCGTTATAGTAGCAAAACGCAAAGGCCAAGAATCTGCGACCCAACATAAATAAAATTTGCCGCCTCTCTTTAACGTGTCCACAGGATAAAACATTTTAGTTACAATTTCACAACTACTTTGCTCGCGATAAAACGTTAATTTTCGCGCCAAACACAAACATGAATTGCAAAATAAGAAAATATAGAGTATGTAATACAGACAGTATTCAGCTTCTGTTCAAAGAATAAATATCTTACACCTTGAATTATTTTATTTGCGCTTCTCATCTTGTGAGCAAAGTAAAAAATTGCACAGTTTTAAACCTAGTAAAATGTAAGGATTTTCGCTTTCTAAGCTGACCAAAAAAAATTTCTGGTTCATATTGGGCCAACAACGCAGGTCTGGCACAGACTCTCTAGCGCCAATTTGTGTTTACATTATGCCAGCACTAATTTTAACGGTATCGGTAGCCTACTTTAAATCAGGTAGGTATTAAGACCAATTACACTGAATCATACTTAAAATCAGTAATATCTCTTTGTGGAAATATGATTCAGCGGTTTTATAGAATTCAAGCACTTATTTATCCAAAGGTTAAACTGGCATTCCATAAAATATTGTTGTATTGTCGAATGTTCAGTTGTTCAGAAATTCTACTCAATTTATTATCTGAACAACTGAAGGGTTTATTTACAACGGAGGGATTTAAAATAAAACAATGAAAATATCTAATAATTTACTAAAACTAAGGGTACATTTTAAACTCATACAATTTACATAATCACTGTATTGGAAAATATCTTATTAAGGTCAACTTTATTTATTTTGATTTGTTTTACAAAATGACAAACATAAATGCAAGCAATGGTTGCAATTTTTGGTTTTAGAGTAAATTATACAATCACAGGTTCAATAAAGAAATAAAAAGAATACTTTGTTTATCTCCGGCTTGCTCTTGCTCCCGAATTGTCATTTAAAGAGAGTGAACGAGACGAAAATATAGAAAAAGCTACGACGGAGAAATTCTGTCGCAGAAAATAAAGATGAAATCTAATGTTAATTACAAGTTTACAGCGATTTAGATTCATCGCTAGAATTATCGGAAATATTAAGCCTTTGAAGAGTATTTTTGTTTATTTCGTCCTTTGTGATGCCGTAACTTAAAGCGTCTTCGTATGCAGATTTAGCTTCATTCGTCTTGTTATTTAATACTAGTATATCGATTAACCTAGAATAAGCATTGGCTATTGTTGCTGATGGCAAATTCTTGTTAGTTTTTAAAGCGCTGATAACTTTCTCTACTGGCTTTGTGTCTTTTCTGACATAACATTCCTGTAGCAATCGTCGGAAGACTACAACATTGGCAGAACTTAAAGCTTGATTCCAGATCAAATCTGCTTCCTTGTCTTTACCCACTAAAATATACTCCATCCATAATAAGTTTGCTGGGAAAACATGACCTTTGGAAGCAGCTAATTGCACCAGTTTTTGGCCTGAAAAAGAAAAAAATATATTTTTGAAAAGAAGTGTATTGACTGATTTTATTGCTAAGAACGGATAGATAAATCTTTTACAATTAGGTGTCAATAAAAAAAAAAGTCTTACATTTTTGTGATAATTCCTCATTTTGTACCGCTAAGGCGAATGCATTGGTTCTTGGGAATTTTTGAATGATTTCATCTATTTGTTCATCAGTATTTGCCATTTGAAGAGAATTATAAAGGGTCTCAACATGCTGTAGACCATCACCTTTTGTGAATACAGCCAGAGTAAACTTGTCATCATAGGTAACATGTTGCTTCTTGACTTTAGTCAAATAACCGCCCAAAGATTGTATCTTTTCAACATTTCCTTCCTCAGATAAAGATTTCAGCATGAACTTTGTTACATTATCTAGCGGAAGCACACCATTTTGAATACTTTTTATTGTGTAATCCATAGCTGCAGAGGCATTACCCTCTTTCACTAAAGCCTCTACTTTAGCACTAACTTCTTTTTTAGTTAACTGTGGGGTTTGTTTGTTTTCTTTAGGTTTAGTTGCTTGTGGGGTTTGTTTGTTTTCTTTAGGTTTAGTGGCTTGTGGGGTTTTCTTCACTGTATTTTCAACCGGTATCTCATCACTCTGATGTTTAGGTATTATGAATGGTACATCTCTTTTCTGGGATTTCAAATGTTTACCGAGGTATATCAGGAACTGTTCGCTTGGGATTTCACCTTCTTCTTGTAATAAAGTCCATAGACCGAGAGCTTTATCGGTTTCATTTGCTTTGCAGTAGGTTACTAGTAAATGATAGAAGATATTGGAGCGATCAATGTATGACAACTCCTTTGTGGCTTCCAGTAATCCTTCTAAATATTCTGATTTGCCTTCCTGTAATTATATTAGTTTAGTATTAATAAATGAAAGAAAACATAGTGATTTTATAAATGCGAAGATTTAGAGGGATGTATTGATGATTGTTGCTACATCATCTATATCTGCAAAATGGCTTAGTGGATCTTAATGAAATTTGGAATAGATGTAAAGCATAGTTTGAAAGAAGTGACTAGTCTGAGAAGTTTTTTGTAATCCCGCGTCTAGTTAAAAATATTTAAACGATTGTAGCTTTTTGTGTATATACCTGTACATATCGCTGGCAGGCGTCGTCCAGGCGTTTCTGTCGCGTGTGCATGCCGGGCGTCTCCAGGATCCTGCGCGCCTGTCGCAGGCGACCGCACTCCACGAATGCGAGTACTAAGTCGTGCAAAATATTCACTTCTCCATGAATCTGAAATTGTTACCATTTATTTTTAGAATTTCAGTGTTTTAGTTTATATGGACCTTTCAGACAAAATAGTATCAATATTGCTAATGACAAAATGTGCTAAAATTTATAGTAATTAATATGTGACAAAAATGTATAACAAATTGACTATTGTCAATTCCTTACATTTTTGTCTTTTCGATCAGAAATATCGAATGTTACTTAGCCTAGGGACATAAGACTAGATAAATACACTTTATAATTGACTGTTAAAGTATTTCGATTTTGATTTTAACCTTGTAAATTCTAACAACCACAAACATTAAGTTACAAACTTAGTTTTAACCTATGCTAATGTAGAGGTAAGATTCATATTACTATAAAAATAAAAATAAAACATTTCTGGCATGCATAGTCTCGACTACGCATGTCAGAAATGTTTTATTTTTATTTTGCTTTATTTTTTTTATGCCAGTTACATCGCCACATCAAATAATAAATAAATCATTTTTTTTTAACAGAAGGGGTATGAATATGTTAGAAGAGATATGATTTGTCACCCAGAAGCTGGGGTGGGTCACTAGTAAAAATAAATTCAATAAAACCATAATTACCTGAGTACTAAGGTCAGCTAGCCATTGTAGTTTTGTAGCATCTTCCGCTAGTATAAGAGATTTCATCAACTCCCCTTTCCATGGAGTACTTCTGTACTGCTTGCAACACTGTTCAAACTCATTTAATGCACCTTCCATATCATTCTGTATTAAATGCACTTTAATTGACGGTCCTAGTATGACATTTGATGGCTCAATGTAATTGTTTTCAATCAATAATTTTGTCATGTCTTTCACCTAGAACCAGAGAAAAATCACATTATGAAATTAAAATGAATGATTATAGATTATTTATAATTTTGGCCCGCGAATCCGTCAGCGTGAAATAAAAAAAATGTAAGTAACCAATCATATAGTTTTTGTGAGGCCATATTTGTTTCCATATTTAAACTATGTTTTCATTAAATTTTTAATAAATCATAAATAAATAAAATATGTCCTTCTGTACTATTATCTACATCTACGCTGAATTTCATTGAGATTCATTAATCATATAGGCTACCGCCTATATGACTCTCATCCATCCATCTAAGCTTTCGCATTTATTATTAGTAAGATTCTACCCACCTTAGAAACATCCTTTTGCTCAGCCAATGTGTTTAACATTTGCCAGCATTTAGAATTTAACATAAACCCTGAGAGTTCATCCTCATCTGTTTGTTTGCTGTCATTTAAAAATTGTACAGCTTCCTCATATTTATTGGCTTTCACTAAAGCATTTGCAAATTGCACAATTTTATATTTGTTCAGTTTAAATTCAGGATCTTTTGCGGTAATCTGATCTTTAATTTCTCTAGCTTTATCAATTTTATCATTCACTGCATAGAATTCAAATAATTGTGCGAGCGTTGGTATTGTTAGTTCGAAACTTGTCGGTTTCAATTCCTCCAGGAAACTATCCAATTTTTCGACATTATTTTCTTTAATATATGTATCCAATAATTGCTTTTGTATGCGAATAACATTATTTCCACCTTTACTTTTAATTCTAGTCAATAGTTGTTCTAATTGCGCGGAATTCCTTGGTCCAGTGTGACGCGGACTTTCGAGAGGGGCGACTTCCAAATCTGGTGAAGTTAATTTTGATAATAACTCAGATATATTTGTAGTCATATTTTGTCCTAAATATTGTTCTATTTCTTCAGCATAGGATGTGCTTATAGTTAGGCCTTTTGAGTGTAATGCTTCTAACAGTTGTTCACATAATTCGGGATCCACCAAATTCTTCACCGCTATCTTCACAATACGTCCTACTTCTCTATTGTTAACATCATCCTTCTGTGTGTCATCGATCATAGTATCATCTTCTGTATTTGTTTGTTGGGGACGGCTTATAACATGTAATATATTTACAAAAGATTTAATATCTTTAGTTTTGTTTAGAGCATGAATCAACGGTCTTGAAATCAATGTGTACTGCCCTTTAGGACGATACTGTAAAGCAATATCGGCTGCTTTCTGAATATCTCCAGCTTCTAAAACTTCTATCATTACATTTCTTGCGCTTAAAGCAGGAGGTACATTTGAAATTTGCAACTTAAGAATGATATTTTCGGGAGTATCCTTACCAATGAGGTAGGGAATAACATAATCTCTGAGAGCTTCACCGGTCGGAATCAAATCCTCTCTCGCCATATCTTTAAGCACTTGTAAGAGACCTTCCTCATCACCTTCTTTGCCTTTTTGTGCAAGAATAGGCCAAAAGTAATGTTGACGTAACTCATATCCATCTTTCTGCAACTCTTTTAATAGTTTCTGAGCTAATTCAGGTTTCTTTAATTGGAAGGCTGTCTCTGCTGCGATATATAGTGCTTTTGGCGCCAAACCTTCTTCTTGGAGAGCTCTGCATGACTTTACAACATTGTCCGGAGAATTGTTAAGTTTCACTAAATGTTTTACAAAGAATGCACATTTGTATGGTGTATCTTCGGTCGTTTGTACTTTAGGCATTGTTTTTATCATTTTCTTAGCGGAATCTTCATGTCCCTTGTTTAATAATCTCAACACAAGATTGCATACATCCTGGTTGTATCCCTGACTCTTTTGAAGATGAGGAAAGAGTTCCTCAATTTTGTCATTATGACCACCAACAGCTAAATGTTCAATTATATCTAAAATATCCTGCAAAAAAGTAAACAGAAAATTGAACGAAAAACGAAAAGTTAATTTAAAACAAAAAACGATCTTTTCTAATCTTTTTAAGGAATACTCAAAAACTACTGGATTACTTTTATTTTGAAAAATGTCCGACCAAATGGCAGTGTTTCTACACTATTCTACATAATTGATTTACATACAAAAAAGTTTGAACTGAGAACCTCCTTTTTGATGTCAGGTAATTAAAAGGGTACTATTAAATTTTACACATATCTATGTTAAAACATTTATCAGTTCCAAATTTAAGTAGATAATGTAGATATATATTTACTACATTAAAAAAAAATGTTTTAACACACCTTATCACACATAAAGACATCCTTTGCAGTTGCTGTATTGACAACTTCTTTAACACTCTGTATATCCCCTTTTCTTGCAAATCCACAAGCAAGTAATGTGTATGTTCGATTGGTTGGTTGTAATCCTGCAGCGGCCATTGTTTCTAACACCGCTTTAGCACCATCCGTGTCACCGTGGAATGAATGTCCCATAACTAAGGCATTTAATACTGGTTCTGATACTGGGAGATTGAGTTCCCTCATTTTTTCTAGAACTTTGGTAGCCCCGTCTACATCTCCTTCTTGGCAATAACGCCACATAAGTCGTTGATAAGTTACTCTAAAAAAAATACATAAAATTTGATATTAATTAAAATAAAACTACATAAATTACTTGTTTAAGTACCTAAATTAATTTATTATTTACCTATTTGGTTGCAACCCTTTATTTTCTAGTTCTTCAAGTATTTTAGCCGGTGAAAATGGATGTTCATTCTCAATATAAACCCTTAGTAAAGCATTGTAATGAGATATGTCCATTGGGATGCCTCTTTCTGTTAACACACTCCATATTTTCTGTACCAAAAGTGTTCTTTGTTCGGGAAGTTCTTCTGGTACTAATTCACCTGAAATTATATGATATTGTATTAATGTTTTGTTCATTTTTATATATGAACTTGCTTTTCATCAAGATTTGTTCAGCCATTTCGGAGATAACTTCTAACAAACTCTAAATATTTGCATTTAAAATATTAGTAAGATTATCCCTCTATAATTTAAAATAGACATTTATTTTAAATCTGTTAAAGATCGTTAAAAAATCAGATTGTACAGAGGAGCCTGTATGATTTAATTAAAAAATATAATATGAATCCAATAAGTATATATTTTAACTCACCACAACATCTGATAACTAGCAATGATTGTGAACTGGTGATGTCGCTTTTTGAAATAACCTCATCAAATACTTCATCTATATCTTTCTTTGTGATCCTTCCAAATCTTCGCACATCCGAGTCTAACCTTTGTAGTAAAGGTTCAAGATTCTCCTTCTTCTTAGAAGTCGCATAATCTCTCAGCAAGAGACTGTGGAATAAAACATTCTCTAATTTTCTAATTTTCATCATTGAAGGTTAACATATCGTCAGAAAACTTTACGACATGCTTAGTTTTGATTTACGATTCTAACATCATTTGATATTGTGAAATCAATATAAGACATGATTTAGGATTGATTTAGTACATTTAGTATATACTATAGATTTAGTATATATTATAGATTTAGTATATACAGTGTGAGACGAAACTATTACGTTCAGCGTTTATCGATTGATGTATCCTTCCATTTCGTTACCACAGTTTTTTACCAAAATATAACTTAAAATTGACATGAAGAAAAATTGTAACTAATAATTTCGTTACAATTTAGTCATACATTTTACTTACCTATTACTTGCACTTAATGCTTTAGAATTTACAAGTAAATTCACTTCAGCAGTTTTCGCCGAGTTTAAAATTAAAGTTCTTGCTGCACCAGTAAAATACCGAATAAACTTCGTTGACCGTAATAGCGATGACATTTTTAATTAAATTAGTTATTGCATCAATAATGTATTTGTTGGAATCGTTTAATTATTTTTATTTGATATTTTTCTGGGGAAATGTATAAATTTTAGGTTATCACGTTATGTCACATTCGCCAGCCCGTACCAAAGAGAACACTTAACAGATTATTTCGGTAAAGATAAAATACGAATGAACTTTTTACTAACAAAAAAAATAGACCACGGCTTTTAAATCGATAAAACCGTTGTATTGTATCACATCGAATTGTATAAAGAAAATCGCCATAATCAAATATTTTTTGGTCAAGTTTGTTTCTGATTTAATTTCTGTAAAAATAAACATCTTTGCATACTATGTTGTCTATATCCACTGTACCTGTTTTACATTATGCCAGTACAATAGGTCAGTAGCTACGGCCTAGCAGGCATGGATGGTTTATTTTAAGTTAACGATAGTTATTACATGTTGCCAGTGTAATGTAAACTGTTGACTCATTTTTTTTATTGTAATATGTAATAATATATGTATTTCCACATTGTAAATTTATTTCTGCTTTGGATTTCCAACTTTAATCCATTATTCAGTTATTACAATTATCAATTTACATTTTTCTATTGTACTGGCATAATGTAAACCGGGCATTATCTGCAATCAGTTGCCGGCGTAATATGACCTGTCATCTTGTCATCTATAGTTATATGCAATACTTATAAATTGAGTCCAGTTTTTAGGTTCAGTTCGGTTTTCGGTTATTGTATATCACAAGCGATCAGCTGAGGTCACAGAAGGAACTACTTCTTGAACATCGCTTACCGCCTGTGTATTGGACGAATTGTTTTTTGAATAAGTGCCTTGATCAAACAGCTACAAAATGGTAAGATTTTTTATAAATTTTCTCCAGCGGTAACTTGACATTGCTATGACCTTTAGGTATACTTGTACTTCTAGACTAAGATCAAAAATATTAATTGTAAGAGTATTAAATAGTTTATGGATTTTAATTCCGTTTCACTTGGTTTATAGAGCACAATCAATTCGAATCATAGAGGGGATTATTATCAAATGATGATAACCGTATCGTATGGTATAGCATTTATTTGATCTTGTAAGCTAATTATTGCCGGCATGGCATGTTGTTGTGGGTATTCAGAAGCAGAGAATACTGAGAGGGTAGTTGTAGTTGCAACTTTGACAACAATGGTAAATTACAAACTTATTCAAGGTTACTCTAAACTAAAAATAGCGACTACTATTAACGATATAAGGGGATTAATATTTAACCATTTTTTATCCATATTGTGAAATAATATGTTGTATTAAATTATTTTTTTTTTACTTGATACTTTGATTGTTGTAACTTCTTAACTGTATTTTTTATGTGAATTTAATATAAGATTTTATCAATGATATCTTATATGAAAAAGTATTCTGAACTTTGAACATATATTTTTTTGAACTTTGACCATTTATAAATGAATAAATGCTTTTAATGACTTTTGAAAGGTATGACTAATTAGTAATTTTTTAAATAACTAATTTGTTTTCTTTTTCAGGCTGCACCAATTAAAGTAGTAGTAACTGGAGCCGCAGGGCAAATTGCTTACTCGCTGTTGTACCAGATTGCTTCTGGTGCTGTCTTTGGTCCTGAACAGCCAGTATACCTGCACCTTCTTGATATTGCTCCTATGATGGGAGTTTTAGAAGGTGTAGTAATGGAGCTTGCAGACTGTGCGCTGCCTTTGCTCACTGGGGTTCTCCCTACAGCCAACCCAGAGGAGGCTTTCAAAGATGTCGCTGCAGCCTTCTTAGTTGGTGCTATGCCAAGGAGAGAGGGTATGGAGAGAAAAGATCTGCTCTCTGCTAATGTACGCATCTTCAAGGAGCAAGGACAGGCTCTCGATAAAGTTGCCCGTAAAGATGTTAAGGTTCTTGTTGTAGGAAACCCTGCAAACACCAATGCTTTGATCTGTTCAAAATATGCTCCATCTATTCCTAAAGAAAACTTCACTGCCATGACCCGTTTGGACCAAAACCGTGCTCAGTCGCAATTAGCAGCAAAAATTGGTGTTCCCGTACAAGATGTTAAGAATGTAATCATTTGGGGTAATCACTCGTCAACACAGTTCCCTGATGCCTCAAATGCTTTAGTTAAGGTTAATGGTGCTGAGAAAGCAGTTCCTGCAGTCATTAATGACGAAGAATTTTTGAAAACCACATTTGTTAGTACTGTACAGAAGCGAGGCGCAGCTGTGATCGCAGCTAGGAAGATGTCTTCTGCTCTTTCTGCTGCCAAAGCAGCGTCTGATCACATGAGAGATTGGTTTTTGGGTACCGGTGACCGCTGGGTTAGTATGGGGGTTGTTTCTGACGGTTCTTACGGTACACCTCGTGATGTTGTATTTTCTTTCCCCGTTACCGTTAGCAATGGTAAGTGGAAGATTGTTGAGGGGCTAACTATCTCTGACTTTGCCCGTAAAATGTTAGATAATACCGGAAAGGAGTTGGCTGAAGAGAAACAGGATGCTTTGGATGTGTGCAAAGATTGACTGTGTAGTTTGTAAGAATAATTAAATGTAGCTGCAATAGCACCAGAGTTAAACTCTTTTATATGTTTAGTTATTTATCTTTGTTGGAACAAAGTTAAAGTACATATTGCTTTTGCTTAAATTTGTTGAATCAAAGTTGTTGTTTTTTTTTTTTATTATTTCTATCTGATATTAAATTGTGATTGATATTATACATTTACAGCAATAAAATTATGCAGCAGGTTTTTTATTTATTTTAAATGTATGGATAAGCATTTGTTATTATGTAAGCTTATTTCATTAATATTTCCATTAGCCATATCAGTACATATGATATCATATGATGCTTCAGTATGTTTTAACAAACATTCTTATCTACTTATAGTTGGGTTATGAAACTTAATTTTATTGTTTTAGAGTGTTACATTTGATCTTTTGTTGCTATACTGAATATAAAATAAATATTACGTATCTACAATCAAAATTAGGTCAGAATAAGGCTATGCAGTACACAATATACAAGAATTATTCATAAACCCAACTACCCACATAAACATTGTATCTACCATAGATCTTTTCATTGAAAAAATGCTAAAACTAGATGGGCCTGTCCCACCACTGGCTGATAGAGGCTCAAATAATTTAGAAATGACGTCACTGTCATTTGACCTTTGATTGTTGTCAATTTACAATTTGGTGGGACAGGCCCTAAATATTTAATTTTTAATCGAACCTTGAACTTTATTGACGTCACTTAGAAACAATGTGTTATCCACTGTATTGGAAGCACGTAAGTAATGTTATCAGAATTTAATTGTTAGATACACACTGGCCAGTGTTAGACTTATCTCAGATAATGAACACGCAATCATCACGTGTTTTGATTGAAAAAAAATACGTTAAACGGACAATATAGTACCCTATCTATAAAACGTGAAAGGTCTTGATTGACTGGTGGTGTTGAAGATTGGAGTGAAGAAAGACCAACAAAAGGGCCAAGGCTGGTGATCCAAGACACGTGTTTTTCGGACTTCCTATAGGAACATTAAACAATCTTTAGATCCCACCCAAAGTGGTGCGGGACAAGGGTAGTGGAGACTTCTAGTTTCAGACTAAGACCTACTTTGGATCGTAGCGCCCACATAGATTGCATATTTAATTTATTTAGAAGTTGCAGTTTAGAATTATTTAATATTCCATGAAATGCTGGTTGAATTTAAAATATGTTATTTTAGTCTTGATAGTTGATTTGCGTGTTAGAATTTGACACGTTTTGAATTCCAGTAAGCGATTAACAAACAGTGGTAGGAAAAACGAATCACGCAAATGAGATTTAAAAGGCACGTAACTTATTTGTTTCGTTTGATGAGTAAATCATAGTCACCATGATTATTTACTTTTTTTTAATAATCACTTTAGTAATTTTTATAAAGAAGATATTGTTTCGAATGTCGAATTGTCGATGGTTGACACCTGATGAGCAATTAAAAAAAAAGATTTATCTGATCCCACAGAATTAATCTTTGAGTTTTAAATTCCGTATAGGTAATACTAGAAAAAACAAACAGCATTCATAAACATTTTATTCTTTATTAAGATTATCCTTAAACAGAATATAATTAAAAATCACAGATTCAAATACTTCAAAACTTACAAAATATATCAAGTTAAAGTTTTAGTACATTTATTAAACTAATTGTTAAGTCCCTGTCCGATTAAATAATAACTAAGATACTTGGAAGTTACTTGTAATTCTGAGTACCAGGTAACCGAGTTAATTGTACTAAAAACGACTATAAATATAGAAATACATATAACTGTCATGTTTTAAGAAGATAATGCATAATGTTCAACCGCCAAGATAATAGACAAATATATTCAAAAATTGTTCAATTCCTTTTTCTATTAATTGTACAAATAGAAGAGAAAACACAATAATCTTAGTAAATACCAAGAAATACATTCTATTTTGTTCTATCAAATTTCTAGATTCAGAGAAACGACAAAAATTATCTATGTTTTAAAAATTTACTAATATACGACATGAATTTGTTTGAGAATTCCGAGGTAAGTCGATAACGTAATACAAAATATGCTATCAACCTGTGAATGATTATAAAACCTAGTAAACCAACAATTTGCATGTAATAAGTATCATTGGCCATTCCGACGTCACGAAGAATGAGTTTAGGATCAGAGTAGAGGCAGAATTCTTGATGGCACTCCATAGATGATCTCTTTTGGTACAATGCGATAGATAATCCTGATAAACCGTAACGCAGATACGATAATGACATTAATATTTGCATTCTAGTTTCTATATACGGTCCGAATCCCATGCCATAGCAGCAAAGTACCAATAATGGAGATACCGTTGCGGGACCTACGATGGAGCCATTCTGTAAAGATGGAGAGAAGTATTAATATATTTTTCATTGTTACTTTTACAATTAATCTTCAATCGAAAAGTCTAGCAACAAAATTGTTTAGATTAAAATTTTACTGGTAAAGTCAGGAACTGACGGTGTTCCTTTAAAACCTACAATCGTATGATAATTTTAAAACGAAACGCGGAACAAAAACTTAACAACGCAGCTTATAAATGTACGAAAAAAAAAACAATCAGTGATACAAAGCTAGTGTCTTTTTATTAATATATTTTCGTTTGCACAACTCACTGCTATCTCATCATTAATTTGTAGGAAGAAGCAGAGATTCTCTCGTTGCAATGAACAAGGAAATTTTTCCTAATAATGGATCATCGCGGATTTTTGCGATTGTATATGATTTTCATACTTATAATTAAAAATAGATTATACATGATTAAAAAAAAAAACTGTAATAGTTTATTCAAAGGTGAATTTGCTATTGAGTAGGTAACTTACGGTAGCATTAAACGCAGAGCCAACGACGAGTCCAAAGCCTTCAGAACAAATGGCGATCAGCAAAGCGCAAAACACGAATAAGACAAACCGGTCCCATTCTAGAATTTGTCCTGACATGAGGTAGACGATTACTAAAAACAGTAAACCGAAGAGCACCTGAAAAACATTTCACAAATTTTCACTCAACGGAACTGAAAAAAATCATACTAATGTAATAAATGCGAAAGTTTAGATGGATAGGTGGTGGGATGTATGTTACAGTTTTCGTTGAAATTTGGTATCCCCTACCGATAGACGGGAAGAATACATAGGCTACTCACTTTTGATTTTTTTTAATACCACGCGGACGGAGTCGCGGGCGAAAGCTAGTAGACTATAAAATATTTTGTTAAATATACTGAATATTGACGGATTGTCAACATAGTGCGTAAAAAAGATAATTATATTTAATTATATTATTAAATTTACATTATAAAAGATACAAAAGTAGGAATATCAACAAAAGGCACATACCATAACAGGTAAAGATGAAAACGTCAGAGCTGCATAATATGCTTTAAGACCGTACCAGCGGTTGAAGTATTCACGCCTCAGCATGCGGACTTCCATGGGAACTGTTGATAAAAATACGTCGAGTTAAATGTCTTTTTCACGGTTATAGAGACAAAATAATCGTTTCGACATTATTTTTTGCTAAACGTATTCTTAACTTTATCGAATCATCGCAAGTATAAGAACATAAAACATCATGTGATAACACTTAGGGTGGATTTCGTGTGGAGATATATTCGTACACTAAAGGAATACTTAAGTAACTCTTTAATGTTAACACTATGTGTTAGAGGTTAGACTGTACTTTAGAAAATAACCTAATCTTTGACGACTAAATTTAGTTCTGAAGAAAGAAGTTCAAATTTAAATTTAATTCTGAAGAATCGTTTTTGTGTTAGACGTGTGTATATCGAATTGAGGGAGTAATACGTTGCTCGAACATCGGATCATTTTGTTGGTACAGTCAATAAAACCCTTCAATGTACAAAAAAACAAATGCGTAGCAAAATAAAATACTTCCAGGCGAGTGAACGCGTGCGTTTTCTTTAAGTCGAAAGGGCTTTGAGGCTTGAGTTTAACTCAAATAAATAAAAGTCACTCCAATCTCACAGTTTCACGAAACGAGAACGTATAAAGCGTTAAGATTTTGTTGGATTTTGTCGTCATTGAATTTTCTTTTAGATTTATAATTGCTTTAAGAAAAAATTAGGCACTCGAGTTCTTAATATTTTCAAATAACATATCAAAACATTCCTAAGACCCGAGTTAGGCTAAATCTTGATTTATTTTGTAAATCTTACTATCTCACTAATATTATAAATGCGAAATGGATGGATGGATGTTTGTTAGAGTTTGTAGTCTAAACGGCTAAACGGATATTAATGAAATTTGTCATAGTTGTAGAGTAGTCTGGAAGAACACATAGGCTACTTGCTTTTGTTTTTTTATAGCACACGAATGGAGTCGCAGGCGAAAGCTAGTATCTTAAAATTATAATAACATTCTACTTACACAGCAGTACAGGTATCATGATGTAAGTGTACATGAAGAACACGAGCACACTGATACAGAATTTGAAGTTTACTATAGGGACGGCAGCGTCGTTTCCCACTAACAAGAAAATACTTCCCAGAAGTACTGCGGACACTACGTGGTGTACCAACTGTATCCATAATGTTATCTGTGGAACAAAGAGAAGGTAGATTTAAGTCCTGACAGGTATGAATAACTGTGCAATAAATGACTTTACTGTTGTATTTTCGCAAATTTTTGTGCTTTTCAAAAACCCATCTATTGTAATTATTGGGAAAGATTTGTATTTTTGTATGTAATAACTCAAAAACTACTGGGCCGATTACAAAAATTCTTTCACTTTTATAAAGTTACGTTTTCAGTGAGTAACATAGGCATTTTTAGTTTCACACGGGCGAAGTCGCGAGCAACTGCTAGTAATCTATAAAAGACTTAAAAGTTGAACATGAAAGTTTATTAAAAAGGACATATTCAATGTGTATTCTTGTATATCCTTTTTGTTATTAAAAGAACGATGATAAATGCTAACAGCTTTTGAAAAATTAAACACGTAATACGCCAATGGTCCATCATTTGCTGTATAAAAATATTTTGTGCTAGTAATCTAAAGTTTGGTAAAGTAAGATAAAGCAGCGATCATTACTTCTATTCCATATCCCGCCATTTCTAACAAGCATTCTCTTATCTTTATAAAGAAGACTATAAAAGATTAAAAGGAATTTATTAAATAAAAACATATGGGTAAACATCGATAGATAAATTGGCATATGTTCATTGTTTTATTTAGTGTGGGCAACAATAAAAAAAATTCAAGTTGACTTGTAAACTGTATTCCAAGATTTATATGTTTGTAGGTGTATCAGGCAATTGTTTTAATAAAAATGAAGAAGAAAACCATGTCTGCGATTCTTCTAGTAAAATGTAAATAAAAGTGAAACCTGACGTGTCAATTTCGACATGGCAATAAGTACGTATTTTTCTTAAATAACATTTTGCATCATATTTAAAATGTTATTTCCTGGAATAGAGTACTCGTATCTGTGTATTAGCGAATGAATGTAAGAAGTAGACTTAACGTTGATAAATGACGACTTTGAGCGATGAATAAAATGCAAGAACTGTTTTGAAACAGGAAAAATTAAATCGTTCAAACAGCTTTTCATACAGCTTTGTACAAGAAATATTTAAAAGAAAGTGATTCTGAAATTTCTATAGGTTTTTAATAAAACATTTATCCACATGTAAATAAGGGAAATCTTTTATTAAACGTTCAATTTAGGTTAGCGAAATATGAACAAAGATATTTATAGAATGTAAGAATAATATGACGGTTGGGTCGCTTATTTTCCCTTCGAAATAGGGCAAAAAATCCCTGCCGAGGCCAATATCTGTGGTGTGCACGGAAAATATACAATTTTTTGTTTAGATTGAAGCATTTTCACGTCCCTTGTTATTAGTTTAGTTAACGTCCTCATAAAAGGTGAACTAATTTTACGCTATATAAAATCAGTTACACTGTTTAGAAATTTAGAGAGAGTGTCTACTAATATTTGCGATATAAAGAGTGGGCTGTAAAGATTATAAGTGCAGTTAATAGCATTTTAATTGCGCAGATATCTTACTAAGGTTATAAATGTGAAATTTTGGATGGATAGATGGTTTTTAGAGTTTGTAGCATAAATTGCAGAACGGTTCTCTATGAAACTCAGCACAGATGTAGAGGATAGTCTGGAAAAACACATAGTCTACTTTCTTTCGTTTTTATTAGTTTCATAGGCTGTGTATTTCGTATTAATCGGTGAATAATTATAGTTTTTTTCTTACCGAATTTCTTCTACTTTGTATAAACATTCGCTTTGTTAATATGAGAAACTGAGTCAGGAATGTGGTGGGAAATTCCATTTTCTGCATTTGTTCTTTGGCTATATGCTCCACGAAGATTCTTTGGATGGATTCATCCGAGTGCAGAACTGGCTTCCTGAAAGACGTTGAACGTTTAATTGATTATTTTTCACTTTCATAGCGTTTAAGTTTTAAATGCATAAAATGAACATTATTGTGAATAAATAACGAAGAGAAAAGTTCCCGTTTTTTTTTAACACGATACTGAGTCTACCTTTAATGTATGGAATACAATAACTGTCATATCTCTCATGAATGACGTAACAGGCAATTAAGGGAGCTACATGTTATAATGGGTATGGATGATATCTTGAGATTTATTCTTAGCTTTTGTGTACAGAAATATTAATATATAAGCTTATACAGCGTTAGAAAAGCTTTTATTTCGTTTGTGGCTACTTCCATAATCTGGTGGTAGATAATATTCCGAGAAATACTAAAAGAAACAGATCTTCAGAATAATTTTAGCGTACAATTTTTATTAAAGAAATTGAATCAACATTAAGAATGACACTTAATACCTTAAAATACATACAAAATGGAAAATGATTTGATATCAAGGTAGAGTTTTATTAAGACTCATCTTACCTCCCGCCTCTCAACGTCATCCTATCCAACTTTCGGCATAGCTTCCCGTTTTGGCAGAGTTCAGACATTTCCGCGGATGCCTCAGGGTCACTGGCTACAGTCTCCACCACGAAGTCTGCGGGATTGTGCGTTGACGGACAGATTTGCCCGACTTCGGTTAAAAACGGCACAAGAAGTGGTGCTGCACCCTGAAAAATAGTGTTTAACATTACCAAGATGCCATATAATATAATACTAGCTGTTGCCCGCGTTTGTTCGCGTGAAATTCTGAAATTAAAAAGAATATAGTCTGTGTTACTCACTAATAACTGAAATCGGCCAAGTTATTTCAATACATACAAAAATACATATATTTTATCTTTATAATATGAGTAGAGGAGTATAGATTTAAGAAAACAAAAAAAAGGAGTAACAAGCCCTGGTTCTTATTTGAATTTGGAACTTAGTGGACTTAATTTAGGTCTGAAGGTCATTCCATTGTTACAAAGACGCTTTATCATTCTACACTTAGCGCTTCTTTTAATAATTAAACTACTTTAAGTGCGTTCAAATCATCATTAACTAAAACATTAGTCCCTATTTCCCTACGAAATGATTTCTAAATTACAACTTTGTTCCATTACGCAAGGAAAATATCTTGAAGTAGACTATTTGGTGCCATTTACAAAGTTGGTCAAATATTCTTATGAAAACACAAATATTCTTACGACACTGTTTAGAGGCACCTTTATTAAATTGATATTTTCCTTATATGTTAACTTTTTCCTTATTTATGTGTTTTGTTTATAATATTAAAACAGTTTTGTTTATGCAAATTGTAGTTTTAACATAGATAACTAAATAAGGTGTTAATGGAGTATAATTTGTTAAGAAGCCCTTGGCTTACTTAAGCGATAGAATGTACGTTGCGGTTGTACCTGTTTTTCTGTATAATTTAACTAGGTTTTGCTCGTGACTTCGTCCGCGTGAAATTAGAATAATAATACTAAAAAAATAGGCTATGCTACTCACTAACGTAGTAGATTTTCAATGGTGAAATAATTATTGAAATCGCTCCAGTAGTTTTTGAGCAATTTAAATACATTTTTTTTTTTTATAACATAAGGTGGCAAACGAGCAAGCGGCCACTTGAATCCGCCAAAATGGCGAAGCGACCGCTGCCCATAGACATCCGCAATTGCAGATGCGTTGCCTACCCTTATACGGCGAAGGAGGAGACGCACATAAAGAGTATATTTCCCCTTCCTATGCATCTCCTCCACCGTCAAATCCATACAAAAATACAAAGTTTTCCTCTTTATAATATTAATATAGATAGACTAGCTGTAGCTCGCGACTGCGTCCGCGTGAAATTAAGAAAATAGTAAAAGTATAGGCAATGTTATTAACAGAGAAAATACCTCTTTAATGGTGAAAGAATTTTTAAAATCAGCGCAGTATGTGAAACAACTACATACAAAAATACAAATTTTTCCTCTTTATAATATTAGTACAGATATAGATGACAGCGACAGCTTAATGGTCTTAATTTTGAATGTTACAATATAACTATGTTAACTAAATTATATCTATGTTTGAGTTATATATTACCTGGTAACAACACATTCCTCTAGAAAGGACATAAACACGATCGAAGAGAGAAAACAGAGAAGCGGAGGGTTGATGTATTGTGCAGATGATGGTACGCCCTTGTCGGGAAAGTAGGCGTAGGAGCACCACTAACTGTCTGATAGATACGACGTCCAGACCTCTGGAAAAGAAATTTTACATCATCATTACCAGCTCAATATACGTCCCCATTTAGTGGCTTGGAGCCTACTCTTAGTAAGGGGTGACTAGGTATAGTCAACGATTGTCTACTGCGGTTTTGTTGACTACACACATATCTATACTATTATAATAAAGCGTAAACACACACTTATTTGTTGCCTAAGATGTCAGCAATTAGAGCGCATTTTTAAATAATTCTTTTGTTTAATAAAAAGCCTTACACTTACGTCATTCTTTAGGCAGTATATTTTCACGCCATTACTCTTAGAGGGTAAATGTTTTGGATAAACACGCTAATGTGCGATAGAGACCATAAGTTGCTGCCAACATCAAGAAGGAAAGATTGCTAAGGTTTGTCATATCATGCCATTTTGACATTAGCTATTGATAATTAGACAAATGTAAACAATAATTTTTTTTTCATAATTTCATGCGGATGAAGCCGTACGGGAACAGCTAGTTGTTTTATAAATTTTACATGTTTTGTACAATTATGTTTTGACCATATCCGTATCGTGTAGCACAAAAAGTAATGGCATTTTGATTTATTGTTGCATGTAAATCACAGAATAGAGTGTGTATATTACGTAAGGTATTTGGATAAATATGCCAATGGTCTACAGTCGTGCGCATTTACGGGGACAATTGCGGTACAGCTATAAACGTTTACAATAGCTCAACATCGCCCAGATTGATGTTACCACAAATGTAGGCGTTTGAACATTCACTTTCGTATATTGCGTATATTGTCTTAGGGAGAATTGTACAACTAAATTTATTCCGTCTTATAATCGAAATTAAATAAGTCTAATATTTTTGTATAATTTTAAAATTTAAGTTTGTCTTAATAAGAAAAATTAGTTTGACAATTTAGTAGGGATGGGTTGTGTAAAATCAGGAGTGAATCTTTTTGATTTTCGATTCTTATTGTTAAAGTTGGAATCGATAGATTAATTTTTTTTATTACTGCTCTGATTGTGACAAAAATATGTACAGTCTAGTAGAGGTTATATATGTATGTCAATTTTTCATAAATAAACAAAGAAACTAGTCTGTCTACAGGAAAATTAGATGTGAGTGTTAACCATAATTATTAGTTTCTGATATCATCATCTCCCCTGCCTTATCCTACTCCCGTAGGGTCGGCGCACCGGGTTTTCGTCCTCCAAAGCATTCTATCATCCGTCATCTCAGTCATCACTCCCTTCTTGATCATGTCACCTTTCACGCAATCCATCCATCTCTTTCTAGGTCTACCTCTACCGATGTACCCCTCCACATTGATAACTAACATCCTTCTTGTTACATGCTATTCATCCCTTCTCATAACATGCCCATACCACTCTAACCTAGTTTCTAATAACGTCTAATAAAAGTTTAAACAATTTAAAAACATGTTTCAGTACGTTCGTTTTTTTTTTAAAGAACAGTTTTCATGCTTTAGTCTTGCCTTTGGATTAGCACCTACTTTTTAAATCGCTACAAATTTACAAAAAGGTTAATTGGAGCTGTTCCAAATTCGGGTGAATGCAGAATGGCTTTTGCTTTACGAGAATTTTCATGTAAAGGAGAGACCTGATTTATTATTCAATGAATTGCTAATTGTGATTACTGAATTAAAATTATCGGTTTAAAGGATAACGAATTATTATTTTAAATTATAAAAATAGCTCGGAATTGCATTTTTTAGTGTTTAGATCACACGATTGATAAACTTTTTATCTATTTTAAGGTAGACAATGTGATACATTCCTTCTTTATCAGCATGGAAATATAATATAGATAAGCATAAATGTATTCTCTACGCATTGTCGATTATTTTAAACACAACTTTTATTAAAAAAAGTTGCGGCGCCTGTCAGATAAAACATTCTAATCTGCGTTTTTGCTATTAATATATGGACAAAAACGTTTGAATTGTATTAACAAAAATATGAGATAAACTTTTTATAGTAAACTTTTTACGGCTGACATAGTAATAAAAATCCATTGTTGTTCATATAAATTCGACTTTTTAGTTCAAGTAAACATCTCGGCAACGTCATGATCATTGAATGATTAATGAAAGTGGATCTCGTCCGTGCGTCACGACTCAATTCAATAGGGTTGTCGCAAAGTCGATACTCAAATTAAGCTCGGACGAAATACTCATTATTTATTTATGTTTCATACTGAGAGTTCGACGTACTTTGAATATTGGGGCACGTTTCAATTCTACGTACACGGCTTGTCTTTACGATCTATAAAGCGTAACGGTAGGGTTGCTATTAAAGCGATTACTTCTAATTGTGTACGTATACTTTTTTACTGCACCCTTTTAATCGTGTGTAATTTCAGAGAAATACAACGCTTTTAGAATTTCGTTCGATTCGAAGATTCGTCTGCAAGTACCTACTTTATTCTGTTTTTATTTTATGAAGCTGTTAAGCTGAAACGATCGATATAAATGCATAAAACTAGACTTTTTTAGAATAAAGTTGCAATCATAAAGTGTAAAAAATCTAAGGTGCTATAAAATCTATTACAAATATTACACAATGTATAAAAGCATGTCGACAATTTCTTTTAAATGTTGAAAATTTATAATTATCTTTATTTAATGTTATTAAATTTTTATACTCACGTTGTTGGCTCATCCAAGAAGATGATGGGCGGGTTGTTGACAAGTTCCAAGGCGACAGAGAGACGCTTCGATTGCCCTCCAGATAGATGTTCAGATCTTGTGTTCCTGTGCTCCCATAAACCTAGCGTCTGAAGAATTTCTTCTACCTGGTAACAATATAAGGACAGAAACATTTTTAATTCAAGGTCATGAGGTTAGAAAATTCTAATAGTAAACAAGCCATCTATACTATTATAATAAAGCGTAAACACACACTTCTTTGATGCCTAAGATGTCAGCAATTACAGCATATTTTTGAGTAATTAATTTTTTAATAATAAGCCCTACACTTAAGTCGCTTTAGGCTATATTTTTTCACGCCATTAAACTTAGGGGTAAATATTTTGGATAAAAGCCCTAATGTGTGAAAGAGATCATAAGTTGCTGCCAACATCAAGGAAGCAAAATTGCCATACTTTGTCATCATGTCATGTCATTTTGACATTTGCAATTGAATTTGACAAATGTAATCAATAAAACAATTTTCATAATTTCATGCGAATGAAGTCGCACGGGAACAGCTAGTCTTTAAATATTGTAATTATAGCACTTTATGATTAACAACTTATACGTTTCTTGCGACAAGTAAAAAATGTGTCCAAGTGATTTAGGAATATTAGAACCTTTTTATAAAGTTATTTATGCGAAGTAAAGCAGAAAATTATTTTTAATAACGATTTTAAAATTTAAATTTTTGGGGGTGTAAAAATTTATCCTGAAGAAGGGAGATTGTGAGGAATGTGATGTCGTGAAACTTCCAAAATAAAACGAAAAACATTTTTATATTAAAGATATCAATACAACGACACGAGGTGGCGTACTAAACTTGACAACTAATGACCTTTTAGAGAAAGTACCAGTGAAAAAAAATGTCTACTATGTCTCGTCTATGGATTATTTAAATGTCTATGCATGATAACATCGTGACAGAAATTTGCAGAATCATACGCGGCTGCAAAACGAACTGAATGACATGTAATTAGTCGACCTCGGCAGTAAAAGGGTTGTTATGTGGTCGTCGTAACTAGTATTCACAAATGAAATTTTAATAAACAACAATCATAAATAATGACACCACGGTTGTACCACGGTTAATTTAACGTATAAATTATGTTTTGTACTCATATGAGTAATTTTTTGTCATCGCAAAAACTGTCATCAAGCAATAAATGTGACTTTTGAATTACGTTATTTTATTATCCTGTCACATTTATTTTCTGTGAAATACAACAGAAGAATTTACTGATATATTATCAGCATCATCATCCACTTGCCCTTATCCCTTACGGAGGGTCAGCACAGTATGTGCTGCTCTTCCATACATCTCTATCAGCCGTCATATCTGAATCCACTCCTTTCTTAAGCATGTCCTCTTTCACACAATCCATCCATACTTTCTTCGGTCTTCCTCTTCCTTTGTAGCCATCCACATGTAATCAATTAACCAATTAACAATTTACTGATATAAACAGCGATAAAAATGAGTCTATAGAAATTTAAAAATAATTCGATAATCAAAACGAATTCGAATACTTACTATCGCACAACTGTTGTGCGACTGTCGATTGTTTCGCAGCCAATTAAAACTGTTTATTTGCCCAAGTAAAAATCGAGTAGTGGCGCACCTCCAAATAAGCTCATAAGAATCAAAGCGCGACTAAACAGTTGTGCGATAGTTCAGTCAAAGATGTTCACGCGGTTTGACCGTATTCTTATTTCTAAAGTGATAAGATACGCGAATTGCGTGTTTATTTATTATATTCAAATTGTGAATTGAAATGTTGTTGAAAATCGCGCACCAGAGGAGAATGAGGATTCGAGAATGTTCGCAAAAATTTTCAATCTACCTTTAAGCATTCTAGAGAAAATATCTCGTCGAATGTGCTTCGGAACCACAACATGTATTCTGCATTCCACATCTCAATATAAATTTATCTGACAGGCACGCCCGCCGCGCTTCGTTGGCATTGCTCTTTTGGCTGCATGTCACATTTTTTAAGTAGCTTTCAAGAATCTTTGAATCGATTTGCTTTAACTTTCAGGTTTTTAACGAGATTAATGTACCAAATACGTGACTAATCGTTTAGCAAATTTGACATTTGAGAAAAAATATATTTACCACCAAATTGAAGGCAAGGAAGAGGATCTTACTACTTACTAATAGATTATTCAATTAGAAAGTCATGGGCAATTCTGCTATCCTTTTATTACAGTATTCCACAGAACTAAATCCGAAGAAAAATCAACACAAAGTCGTTCATTTGATTTTTCTCTCTTCGTTCCGTTTCGGAAAATAGATTTCAAGTATAACTTAAGAAGCAGCAGTAGGACAACCCAACGCCGAAAATCATGCATAGATATATGAATGTAGGTGTACTAGGACAGTACCAAACGGAAATCGGTACTACAACTCTTATGAACGTGAGTTATTTCGTTATAACTTACTATAAGTTCCTTCTCCGCTCTCCCTAGTTCCTTGCCCAGCTTCAAGTCTGCGGCGATCCTCATCGCCTCGCAGACGGATAGACGGGGCTGCAGCAAATCATCCTGCATTATGTAACTGCTTAGTTTCTTGAACACCCGCATATCTCGTGCGTGACCGTTCACTGTTATACGACCGCTTACTCCCTTTGTCCTGTATTGAAATTATTAAATTATAAGTTAAACATCAATTTCTTAATTTTTATAAGGTTTATTTAGTATCTCGTTTAGACTTCGTACTGGTCGATAGATTGAGATAACTGCTATGAACAAAGATGGTTTATTGTGCGTATTATTTGGTGGAAACATCCTTTGCTCTCCTATAAAAATGAGATTGTTATCGTTAACAGTTTTCTATCGTTCTAGAAATATGCAGTTTACGTTTTAAATTAAATTATCTTGTTTGTCAAAGAACAATATAAAGGTAATAAAAACTAATTCTCTTCAGTCTGCTAGATTTGACTCGTTTATTAAAATGTAGTGGTCTATTTATATTTAACTCGAGCGAATCTCTCCGACAGCTAATAACGTCGCAGCCATTCAAAATTTGCTGTTTAATAACACAGCCCGATGGTCGTGAGCTTACTGGGGCGAAATAATTTGTTGTGCTTTCATCGACCCCTTTATTTAGTGTTGTAATTGCGGCAAATAAGGTCTCCGGACAGCGCAGCCATTATCAATGGACCATTTTCTTTATTACAGTATTCTGTATTAAGCTAATATTTTTTATTCTACTTTTAAAGTTATTATTTACAGACTAATGTTAATTATTTTAGACCAGGAACAATTATTTGTGTAACAGTTGCTATTGTCGAATGTTTTGCGGTTTAAATTTAGAATTTCGAATGTCAAGTTCCAATTTTAAAAATAAAATCGTGCGGCAGACGTGAGTGCCAAATGCGTTTTAAATTTAGAATTAAATGGATGTTTATTCCTAATTTAAACGTTCAAATGATGGTAAACAAACGTGTATCCAGCCAGTATGTTCAGCAGCGTGGATTTGCCGGCGCCGGAGGGGCCGAGCACGCAAGTCAGTTCCCCAGACCGGAACTCACCAGACACGTTCCGCAGTATGAGACGCTCTTCTGCAACAAAAGACACAGTTTAACAATGTCTTAGTAATTTGTTATCTTTCTTTTGAAACCTTTTACAAAGAAAGAAAGATACGTTAATATGATGCCTGTTCTTAGACTGATAAGTTTAAAATGGCTAGAAATAATTAGATTATAACTGTGTTAATAGGAAAGCGAAATTTTTCACATTAAACCGAAAGATTTCGCAATTGATGAATAGTTATCGCAAATAATTTCAAACTTGCAACTGCAAAAAAAAACAAAGAAAAACTTTGTATACTTTGAATTTTCCGCTACGAACAAATTTGTAGTTGAGCGAAAATTAGGACATAAAGTCTTTGTTCGCAAAATGACTTTTTAAAAATCTTTTAGTGCTAGTTCGCCTTAAGGCCGAGCAAATGCGAAGGATTCTGGTGCCAAGAAAATATAACCTCTAAATTTCTATAATAAAGTTATACTATGGAGAGTTTAGTGTGGTTAATATCGGAGTTAAGAACATTTTTTTCTTTTTAAAACCTTTATTGCTATTTTTATGTCGCCTGCCAGAATGAAAGATAACGTAATGAACACAATTGACTAGAGGTTTGCGCTGGCATATATTTTAATAGTAATATTTACTTAACACTTATGTACCAGCTATTGAATCCTAAAACAATGTGTAACCTTTCGTAATTCATCGTAATATTTAGGAATAATTTGTATTTTACAGGGATATTTTGGTCTTCCACTTCAATATCTTCATAGTAATTAATATGCAAGCCGCGTCGGAATTTGCGGCAGGAAATAGCTCAATTAAACGCTTTGTATAAAGTAATATAATTATTTTACACTTAATTGTTTTACAAGGGATAATTTAGACAGGCTGTAATAATGTATTGTTTAGTTATAATAACTGGTATACCAACAACATGTCTTAATTAGAATTAATTAAATTAGTCTACGAATGTCTAGTATTTTAAAAGTATTTTCAACACGCATTTTGATAATTTTATATTCGATTAGCTGCGGCGTCATCCGCATACAATTATGAAATTTTTTTTTGTTTTTTACATTTGTCAAATTATCAGTAGCAAATGTCAAAATTACATGACATGACGAACCTTGACAATCTTGCTTCCTTGATGTTGGCAGCAACTTATGGTCTCTCTCCCACATTAGAGTTTTTATCTAAAGTATTTACCCCCTAAGTTTAATGGCTTGAAAATATATAGCCTAAAGCATGAGGTAAGTGTAGGGTTTTTTATTAAAAAAAGAATTATTCAAAAATATGATGTAATTGCTGAAATCTTAGGTAACAAAGAAGTGTGTGTTTATGCTTTATTATAATAGTATAGATAAGTATCTAAGTATAGATTAACTTTAGTTTTAATGTAGTAAGTACTTTAATGAGATAATTAAATTTAATGAGATGATAAGAGTAAATACACCTACGAAGTACATTATCACAGTTTTAATGCTATTATAACCGTTATTGCGTAAAGTAACTCTCCGTCCCTTGGTAGTAAAGTTTTCATAACCACTACCGGCGTTCAGTGCATGTTATATGAAAAGTTTTTATTTTTTATTTCGTGTAAGGTAATAAGGTTGAAAATTATAATTATCATATTGTGAGAATATTGTTTATCGTTTATATGTTTGGATGTATGGGTGACTAACTTTCGCCGGCGATTCCGTCCGTGTGAAATTAAAAAAGAAGAAAATCAAGTAGCCTATGTGTTCTTCCAGACTGTATTCTACATCTATGCCAAATTTCAACAAGATCCGTTCAGCCGTTTAGGCTACAAACATATATTCATCTATCCATCCATCCATCCATCCATCCATCCAAACTTTCGTATTTACAATGTTAGTAAGAAGTAAGATATACCGTCATCTCTCCGAGTTAATCAGCTAAAATTGTACTATGAATTGTTTTGTTTCTATCGATATGAAGAAGGCAAACGACTGTTATCTCATAGGTACAGATGAATAAACATATATATTTTTCTAAATAAAATGTGCTTGATATTCTCTAAGAAGGCAGGTATCAGATCGTATCCACATTCATTTCGTAAACTTTTACTTTGCTTTGCAACTTGATTTCTAGACGTCTCACCGTCGAATGGATTTATTGCTTCCATGTTTATGTAAGCGCCTCCAGCGCCCCCACACTCAAGAGCGAGGCGTCAGCGAATCTAAAACTTTAAGTCCACAGGAAAGTTAAAGCCTAGATTTACTCGGCCGTACCTTATTTATTCCTTCGACTGTAGTCACACTTCACACAACAAAGAGAAGATCGCTTTTGTTTTTTCGTATATAGAATAAATAAATTACATGTCTTCATTTAGAAGCTCTATATAAGATTAGTGTAGTAATAGTGTTTTATCTAAATTTTGTAACTGGTTGTTAATTTTATATGTTCATTTGGTACAAGCCCACGTAAACAGATTCTCGAAAGTTCTCGTATGAAAGACGTATAATTGATTACACGGTTTATGTGAAATTTTAAAGGGATTGAGTTAGAGTAAATTGAATTCTAAAGTGCGTCCTATTTTCAAAACAATAGCAACGTTGAAGTCTATATCCGTTCATACGTGCATTATATTCCTTTCGCTTCGCTGGTATATTTCGAATTCTCGAGGCGGATATTGCATTTGCAACGACTTCGGATGTTATCGTTTTATGTGACAGAGATACGGTGCGGTGTTTGCAGTATTTTTTCAAGATTAGACGCTGAGTAAGCTATTCGGATAATGAGATACAACGCGAACACTTCACAAGATTATGACATGTTTACTTGAACTTTCTTGAACATATTCTTTCTTGTATAAATTCAAGAAGCCTAAGCCTCAAAGGCCGGCAACGTATCTGTAGTTCCTCTGGTGTTGCGGATGTCCATGGGTGTCGTTGACCACCTCGGTGTTTTCGCCGCTCGTTTGCCCCTTCTCATTATAAAAGAAATAAAAATATCTGAATTGAAGCAATGTTCAAATGACGTTATATCTGATCCTATTAGAGGAAAACTAATATAAATTGGAAAGAAAATTCAATACAGTTTTAGCAATATTTCAGTTCCCAACTATCGACATCGGTTTTATTTTATTGTTTTCAAACTAAGAATGTGCAGTTTTAGTTTTATTTCAAAACAATAAATCGCATTAGAAGTTTTGAACGAAGGTGTATTGTTCCGATGTTCTGTGAACAAACATAACGTAAACGAATTGCGAAAGTTGAGTACAGTTATGACTTGCAAAATTAACGGTAAAGTCGTCTTGTAGATATACATCTTGCAATGTGTTTTACCGCTTAAGGCATGCAACATTTTATCTTACTAGTTATGTAAAGACGGAGATACGTGAATTTAATGTAAATTGTTTCTTTTAAAATTTTCTATCACCTACTTATAAATATCGTTTAACTAGTCCAGTCCTGACCAGTGGAAATGACAGCTTTTCTGTTGGAGGGGGCACACCTATCACTATCACACACGCGTTGTGCGATTGCCGATTGTTTCGCAGCTAATTCAACTGTTTAGTTGCACAACTAAAAATCGAGTATTGTGTGCACCTCCATATAGGGTCATAGGAATCGAATAATAATAAATAACCTATCTAAAAGGTTTCTTGTAATTCCTCATTTCTGTTGAATTCCACTAAACGTATTTAAAGAAAATTGTGTTTATATTAAGAACCAAATATTTCTGTTTTTAGTAAGTCTGTAATTAGTGTTACAAAGGCAAAACAGATAAGTTTGTTATAATTTCTCATTTCTGTTTAATTCCACTAAATGTTCTACGTTATTTGCGCTTCAGTTCTTAACCGAACTAAACTGAACCTGCCGACGTTTGAAATAAACCTACTTTATAAGTTAATAGTTAGCTCAAAATGCAGTATTTTCATAAAAGTTACCAGCGTCTATAAATTGTTCGTACTAAAAGTGGAAACTAGCGTTTCTAAAGAATGAATCATGAATTTGACTACTAATATTAAAGTTTGAATTGCAGTGGTAATTATAATTTCTAGTTTTTAGTTTTGTAAGCAATCGTACAGTTTAGTAGATTATTAGTTAAATGCTTAATTTATTTAACGTTTTACGGTTTAACAATATTATCAACGGATCCTCAGTGTTAAGGGTAACTATAAAAAACCATTTTCAAAAGGTAAAGAAACAAGGGTAGCCGTGAATAACAGCTAGTATAGATATAGACTGCTCAGTTCGGGTCAGTGACACGCCGTCACGGGTAATTGAACGGGTCTGGGATCTCGGACGGACAGGGGAAAGATTGTGCGGCGAAAATATTCCCACTTATTGATGACATACAGGTGACCCTTTTTAGTTCACTTCGTATACGTCACGTAGATCGAATACTTTTATAATTTATCTAAAAACCTTTTTTAGTAGTAGTATATCTGTTTTTTAAATAACTATATAGCAAGGTAATTAAGGCGATGACAACCGCAAAAAATGATTGCTTTTTAAAGACATATTGGGACTTTAAGCAAAGAATCGTCAAATGATAGCTAAGTACAACCACTTACTTTTGTATATGATTATTTAAGTTATTTTTTTAAATGTCGTAAAAGAACATTTTGTTTATATGATTGTGTTTAAAATGTATCGAAACATTATAGTGGTAAATCGCCTATTTAGACACGAATAAAAAAAAATCATTAAGAATTACATGGTGAAAAACAAATCGAAACTCGATGCGGTACAATATTCTAAAATAGTATATTTAGCAGATGCTGGGTGGCGTTTCCGGTCCGTAGGGTGATTGCTACGAGGCCTCCGGGGACGGCCGAGTTTCGCGGTCAACTGGCCCATCTTATTAACATGAAACCCGGAGCGACGTGTTAGGAAAATTCTATCGTAACCGCACTGCGACTGTCTTCACAATTAGTATGCACATACTAATTCCACATTAAGAGTAATGGAGAACCGAATGAAACAAAATTAATGTATCAAACATAGACTGTATGTTAGATAACTTTGTGATATATTAATATGTTTTTCTTTTAATTAACATACCTTAT